AACCCCCGCATGTAGCGATTTATAGAATATTCTTTGTCTACTCCCCCGTGCACATTGACTACAATTGATCCTCTCCTACGATTTCTTTATGATTAAGGTCCACTCATTGTCTTATAGTAGGCAATATGAAATAGTTGATGAATTGTGAATTGCATTGTCTCCTACTAGCAAGAAAGATTGGTTGGGACATATGTGATGATGTATAAAGAAGATTTTCCAAACATCACTTAAATGCTTGCTTACACATGCATGCAAAAGCCATAAACAAGGTTTTCCCAGGCTTTCATGTTTTGCACAAGCAACTATGAATTTTTATTTATCAGATGTAACAACTATGAACTCAACATTATTTAGAATAGACCATCCATATAAAGTAAATTGGAAGTTAAATTTTTTTATGAAGCATATTCCTTCGATCAAATTATCTAGAATCAATAATTCTTAATTTGTTAAGTTGATGCCACTAATATTGTTAAAGGTCAATTTTTCGACCAACTCAAAGGATGTACATATGGTTGTGAAGTCGTTGTTAGCAACCATTCCTTGCTCGATGTCAATAATCATACTACAATATTTTCTAATAATATTATTGATGTCATCATGATCATCTATACTTATTTAAAATAAGGAGTAAGTCATAATAAATTTCACCAGATTGCTCACTAATCCATTTTTCATTATTTCATAACCTCGTTTAACAACATGTACGGTGGTTGTATGCTCATTAACACATAATAAGTTCGTATAAGATAATTTTATCGAAGGACATGAAGCATTAAATCCACTTTTATTTTGCATAAGATTGTATCAGATTGACATATCTTTAGGTAAAGACTGTTACCACACTTAAGAAGGTAATTCTTACAAAGATTGTGTTTTCATGGGCTAGTTGCTAAACAGATGGAACTTGCACAGGCATTTTCCTCGAACCACCTTAATGCATCACTAACAATACAAGAAAAATTGATAGACTAAAGTACATTTTAGGTGGAATGATATCCTCCGGTAGTATTGGTGGTGTAATAGGTTGATATTCCACTAGTAACTTATCGGCGGGTTTTTCGACGGATAAATTGTCATTAACTTCCCGATGGAAAATCCGCTAAAAATACCACCAGTTTTTCTAAAGCTAGTGGTAATTTCCAACAAAAAAAATGGTTAGAAATTTTTTGTAGAACTTCTGGCAAAAAACTCGTCGGCTTACTTAAACATCACAAAATATTTTTGTCAAAAAATACCACCAAAATATATTCGACAAAAAATCCACTGGCAGTACCACCGAAAATGCTTTATTTTCTTCCTCGTGTTGCTCGTAATCATATTCCAATTCATTTTATTCCTGCTTCACTCCTAGTCGGGTGATTCACCTCTTACTAAATGTCACCTCTGTGTACACTGCTTCACTCCTGTCGCCTTTGTGTACACTGCTCTATCGTCGTCATTCATCACCTCAATCACTGGCACCATTGTAAGTTGTTCTGCCATAAGCCCATTTTTGTTTGCTTTGGTCATGGATGTTTTTGGTAGACATTTCCAAGAGATTGTACTATGGTGTATGCATTTTGTTGATGATATTGTTCTTGTTGATAAGACTAAAGAGGGAGGTGAAGGTGAAATAGATGTGGATACTATTAACGAAATTCAAGTTGGATGGTGAAAGTGGGGGAATGCATTGGGCTTATTGTGTGATAGAAAATTCCCCTCAAACTTAGAAGAAAATTTAATAATGTGTGGTGATACCTTCAATGCTTTATGGTGTAAATTATTTGTCATTAAAAGAGAAGCTTAAGATTAAGTTAAGTGTTTGCATAATGAGAATGCAAATGAGTTGCTTTTTTCTTAGAGATAAGATACTAAATGAGCATATACGTGAATAAGGTTAGGAAGCTTCTATGGAAGATTAGATTAGAGAGAGTGAGAGAGTCTCCTTAGATTGTTCGGTCACATATAGCGGTGGCCTCCCATTGACCCAGTTAGGAAAGTAGTGGTATTAGTCTTATGTTAGGAAAGGTTGAGGTTAACCATAAAAGATAGTTAAAAAATATTACAAATGATATTTCTTTATTGGATTTAAATGAGAATTTAACTATTAATAAAATATAATAGAGAAAAAAGGACTTATCTAGTCGACCCCACGTACAAGGATAAAGGATTTGATGTTGTTGTTATTTTTGATCATCTAATTAAATTTAAATGAAAATTAACACCATTGGATTTACAAATTAAATTGAAATCAATTTATTTTCCTTTAATAGATGTTACTCCAATATCTAATATCTTTATATTATATACAGGCAAAATTCTTCATAGTATGGATATTAGAACAATTGGTGCTAGAAAAAAAGATATTAACATATAGTTTCATTAATGTGGTGAATTTTTTCATCAAGACGGTCTGTCAACTTCCTACCTTCATCTCAGATGAAAAGTTTCGATGCTCATATTCTAAATAGAAAAATCAAGTGCATCTCACACTAGATATCATAATTATTGATCTATATCGTAGATGGTTCATGTTAGAATATTTATATTAGACTTCTCATAGTGAGTATGAGCCACATTTTGATTCTCGATGTGGTCCGTCTACAAGTTCTAATATAGCTTAGGAAGAAAATAGTCGACCTCTTGAGGACTTAGTTTATGAAGCAATTGGGGCACAATTTGAACAATATATAAAAGAGTCAACAAATAAGGAGATGATTTATTGCATGCTGCCCAATAATCAATTTGAAAGGGGTGCACCACTCACTCAGACTTATTTATTGTTGTGAATGTGTTAAGCATCAAGATATAATATAATATCTCTTGTGACTGATTTAATCAATTCGTTGAGTTGCTTAAGAAGCCCAACCCTATAGATAACATAATTCCTAGAGATTTATATCACACTAGAAAGTTGTTTTCCAAACTTGTTTTGATATATACAAAAATATACTATTATGTCAGTGGATGTATACTATACTATAAAGATGATTTATGAGATAATGTATGATATCATTGTAATGCACCAAGATTTGTGTATTTTATTGTCCATTTTTTATTGTGCAACAAATGAACTTTATATTTATTATTAAATTATTTTGTGAATGTTCAATAAAATATGGCGATAAAATATGTTATTATATGCATGTAGCATATGTTTATGTTCAATGTTTGAATGTGAATATTCTATATTATATATATTTTATCCATGTTTGTTGTGTTGTAGAAAACATGTGAGGGAGTGCTATTATTTTGTTTCAAGTACAGATTTTTGGCAGAATATCCGATGAAAATAGAGATACGATAAAATTATATAACCCATCAGAAAATTCTGCTGATTCGTTTCTAGCAGTCACAGTTGCCGGTATTTTCCGCTGTAGGTTTCCACTGAATTTTTTTTACGGACAAACCGGTGGTAAGAGTGCTTCGCAAACGATGAATATTGTTCTATAATTACGCCAAAATTCCATCACTAAATTCGATGAAAATATCTCCGATAGAAAAAATTCCACCAGAAAAATTTTATGATGCTCGTTTTATCGTCAAATAAATTTTCACCGAAAATATGCAAGAATTACAAATTTTCCGGCATATATTGCCGCTGGTAATATGAGTTTTTCCTGTAGTGCGCTGTGCGCCCCATCTTTCAGGTTAATTGATTCACGAATATAGAAAATTAGATTTTTTTTTCTTTACTTTTTTCTAAGCCTTTTTCTTTAACTTTCATATATAAAATAAGAAATTCTCTAGCAGAATGAACACAACTTCACAAACATAATCATCTTCAACATACGATATCATGAAATCGTTCCTCATCAGAAGACAACTCACTAAGTTTACTATATACTTGGATGTATCGTACTTGAGTGCTTGAAGTACCCTAAACTTAAGTTGCTCCAAGTTAATATTTTTTAGCACTTGTAAAGAATAATTTCAACCTCCAATATATGTTGGTGAAAATTTAGCATCAATATTTAGTTTTCCATCATACAGGTACAAAAGTAATGATAACCGTCCACTTATTTCTCCAAATACGCTGTCTTATGCAAATGCAACCTAGAGTTTTCTTTAGGAAATCCTATTTCCCAAAAACAATTGGTCTACGGAAGATTGAATAATAGACTACTTCAGAAACCTAATTTATGTTGGGAATACATGTCATGTCCAATTGGCAATCACAAATTAGTAGTTTGTATTTAAATCTCTCTTTTTAATTTTTTGATTTTTTTTTTTGTAGATGAATAAATAAAATTATATATATTAATATTTATTTAATTTATATAATTATTATATCATATTTTTAATGAAAAAACATATATATTAAATGATATGCTTATGCTAGGTTTTAGAAATGCCGTTGGGTTTATTTTTGGTCATTTGAATTGATGATATGAGCTAATTTTATATAAGATAAAAAAATGATTTGAAATCATTTTCAATTTTGAGAATTTAAATGACATCATCATGCATTAATTTTTTAAGTATAATAATAATAATATAATAACATTAATATGATACAATGAATTAGATTATTAAAATCAATTTTTTTTTATTCTTGTATTTTTATTGGAGATTAATTATTTGGTATATAATGTAAGAATAATTGCAAATTATTATGGGAAATAATTTTTTGTGTGAAGCTAATTTCTCTCTATTATAGATGTAAATTTTCTTAATTGAATGTCGAAGCACAGTCTAATATATGATATACATGCAAGAGTCCTAGCATGGGAGGGAAGACGTGATCAGTTTCTCGGACTAGGAACCGCCGTCGGATTGCTCGCAGCCGCCTGAGAAAATGTCGCCGAGGAGAGGAGGGATGAAAGAAGCCAGATCTCTCATATAAATTACAGTGAGAAATCAGGTAATCTCCTTCAACTCTTTTTTTTTTTTTGGGACATTTAGGCCATTTAAGGCAAACTCACACACACAACGCATACACAAAGACTCGAACCTTGGACCTCTTAGTTGGAAGCCTAAGCTCTCAACCAATAGGCCAAGGAGAGTTGTGTAACTCCTTCAACTCTCACTACTTCTATTTTAGCTTTCCGCCGCCGATCCCCCGACGAATCCGTCCATCTGAAAAAGAAAATGAGATTGGCGCTCCTTTCCCGGGATCCTTCCTTATTCGTTTAGATCTCGCCGAGCCAGCTTTGAACCGATCAGCACCGAGGAAGATACGCCTGTCGCTTTGAGTTAGCAACTTGTAGGCAACCAGTCGCCGCCGCGTAAATTGGAGGTTTTTGTTGGCGGCGGCGGAGGAGGATCGTCTGCATAGAGGCTCAGGTACTTCATTTTCTCTGACTCGACATTAAATTACTTCTCCTTGCGGTCTTCCGAAGTGAAATGCTCTGTTTTGCGTCATTGATCCCATAAATGCTTGCCGTCTCCTCCAATTTATACAGTTGTTGAAATCATTCATTCTACAGGCGACGAGAATAGAAAAGGAAGACGGGAGGACAATGTCATCGAGCACTATCCGGAAGGCCATCGGCGCGGTGAAAGACCATACTAGTATTGGTCTTGCCAAGGTGTCTAGCAACGTCGCGCCGGACCTCGAGGTGGCGATTTTGAAGGCAACGAGCCATGACGATGAGCCCGCCGACGAGAAGCACATCCGCGAAATTCTGAACCTTTCCTCCTACTCCCGAGGCTACGCCAGCGCATGCGTCTCCACTGTATCCCGCCGCCTCGGGAAAACTCGAGACTGGATCGTCGCCCTCAAAACCCTTATGCTTATCCACCGACTCCTCAACGAAGACGTCCCCTCCTTCCACCACGAGCTTCTCTACGCCACCCGCCGTGGCACGCGCCTCCTCAATATGTCCGATTTTCGGGACGAGGTCCACTCCAGCTCCTGGGATCATTCCGCCTTCGTCCGCACCTACGCTCTCTTCCTCGACCAGCGCCTAGAGTACATCGTCGGCGATAACAAGCAGGCCGGATACGGCGGCGACGGCGGCGGCGGATCCTTCCATTCTCCTCCCGAGCAGCAGAGGTCGCAGCCGTCTTACATCGGCGGCAACCATGGGAGGTACTCGAATTTGAACTTCGCCCCAACTCAGAGTGACGAGAGGAGATCGACTACTCCTCTCCGAGAGATGGCGCCGGAGAAAGTGTTGGGTCGAATGAACCAACTACAGAAGCTGTTTGATCAATTTCTGGCATGCCGCCCCATTGGCTTGGCAAAAAACAACAGGATGATTATTGTTGCCCTCTACCCAATTGTTAGAGAGAGTTTCAAGCTCTACGCCGACATCCATGAGACATTCGCCGCGCTCTTGGACCTTTTTTTTGACATGGAGTATGCTTTCTGTGTGAAGTCGTTCGATGCTTTCGCGAACGCAGCCAAGCAGATTGATGAGCTTAATGCATTCTATGGGTGGTGCAAGGACGCAGGGGTGGCGAGGTCCTCTGAGTATCCGGAGGTGCAGCGCATAACAGATAAATTTCTGAAGACGTTAGAGGAATTCATGCGGAGCATGGCAACGAGGCCAAACACCTCTCTGAGTTGCGTGGAGCCGGATCCTGCTGTACAGGAGGAAGAGCCGGCGTTGGATATGAATAACATAAAGGCCCTTCCTGCACCCTCAGAATATGAGGAGCAACCTGTGCCTCCGGTGCCTAAGTCTCAGATCCAGTCTCAGCCTCCAGGTGACTTGGTTGATCTCAGGGAGGAGGATGAGACTGCAGATGCTCAAGGAAATATGCTTGCATTAGCCCTTTTCTCTGGCGGAGCTTCTGGGCCTGGAAATCGGATACGGGAGGCATTTCCTTCCGTTGAAACTTCGGGGGAAGGTGAACTGACCTCATCCTGGCAGACACCAGCAGCTAAGGAGGGAAAAGCTGATTGGGAACTTGCTTTGGCTGAAACAGCCAGCAACCTTGCGAAGAATAATACTACAATAGGAGGTGGCTTTGATCATCTGCTGCTCAATGGCTTGTATGACCATGGGGCGGTGAGGCGCCATGAAAGTGAGCACACAAGCTTCGGGAGTGTGAGCAGCGTGGCCTTGCCAGGCCCTGAGAAGACGGCTTCAGCTGTCCTGTCCTTGCCGGCGCCCGACGGCACAGTTCAGAATATTGGAGGAGATCCCTTCGCTGCTTCCCTGAGCATTCCTCCTCCATCGTATGTGCAGATGTGTGACATTGAGAAGAAGCAGCAGCTGCTGATGCAGGAGCAGCAGTGGTGGCGCCAGTATACTCAGGGTGGAATACCGGACCAGGCGAGCCTGGCTAAGCTCAACAATGCTCACTACTACTACAACCCAGGCATCCAGTATGGCATGCCAAACCCTGCTGCATACTACTACCCTAATATGTAGGGCTTACTCTTTTTCGACTTTTTCATTATTTTTGCTCGTGTAGCTTGGGTTGCTCGAATCCATGGTGTTTATTCCTCATCACTTACTCCGTTCTCTCATGAGTTATTGAGCAAAGAACTTGAATCTCTTATTTTATTCTTATGATTTGTCGGGTCGAGCATCCAAATGGAAAGAACTCCTCCCAAAAGGAGTTTTTCTTTCATCTTTGAATTTTCAAATCACCCTAACTTTTTTTTTTAAAGTTAAAACCCACACAGGGGCCTACGCGTTGATTTAAAATAAAGTACAAGTCCTTAAAGAGATTTTCAGTCCTCTACTGCTCAACGAGCTACACTCAATCAAAAAGAAAAAACAAAAGGGCCGAAATTCCCTATCTATGCAAAATACAAAATAACCTAGTAACATACTAAGGCAGCATGAAAAATGCGCCCAAAAATGAGAAAGATCCACAAGATCATCAGTCAGCTCCATCTTTCTAGGCAAAAACTCCCTCAAGGTGGAAGCAACCTGCAAAAAAACAATACAGGAAAACCAACCAAAGAAAAACACCAGTAATCCTAAAGAGATACCAATCCAGCCTTAAGTTAACCATATCCAGGATTCTGAAATTGATCTTCCCCAGCAACTGAAACAGCTCCGCCTCAACGGACATCAACCTGTAGGAAAAGAAATCCTAAAACATGGAACAACCACAGCACCTCCAGCAATTAACCACCACAGGGCAAGAGACATCCAGCAACCACAAACACCAAACCAAATCCCAGTAAACCAACAGAAATCAACCAAAACAATAAAAAGATAAAATGCAGTTAAATTCCTGAAACAAAATGGCTAATCAAATAGAACGAATATAAAGTAAACCCAATTTATCCAGTCTCACTAAACCACATAACTGTTGAGGAATATTACTGCCAGAAAATTCTTCCACATCATCAAGAAGGCTACCCTTCTTGGCTAGAAAATCCGCACAGGCACTGCCTTCACGGAAAATATGAATCAAATTAAAGTTAAAACCAGCCATCAAGGTATTAATCTTTCTCATAATATAAAAGAAGTCCGGGTGACACATAATATTATTGTTAAGCAACTGGATTAAACTTAAGGCATCCACCTCAATAACAAAATTAGTAACACCGATTCTAACGCAAACTTCCAGCCAATAGGCTAGACCTTTCATTTCAGCATAAATAACTTTGCAGTGGTTTAAAGGAGAGGCATAAGCAATTATAACATCACCTTTAAAGTTCCGAATTATACCACCCATCCCAGCAGTATTGGAACCCACCGAGCCATCGGAATTTAACTTGACAAAAGGATATACAGGTTTCACCCATTTAACCACTATATCCAACGCTCTAAAAGCAGCAAAACTCATGGGAATACCGAAATACATAGCTAAAGACTTACATTTTGTGAAGTTCTTCGCAGAAATCATGTTGGCGGTATACAGCTGATGAACTTTGTATTTAATATTCGCAATAGTTATCAGGGCTTCCATATGGATACCCTCATGTTTAGCTTCGTTTCTAGCTTTCCTAAATACCAAATGATAAGAATAGGAAGTAGATTGTAAATATGGCCTTTGGTCGTAGTCACCCACGACTCAAGCATTTTTAAAATGCTCTCTTGCATAATGTTACTGTCTTTATTAACCAAGCATAAAAAATGATGCCAAACTTTCTTTGCAATCCAACCATTTCCAAAAACAATTGGCATTTGGAAGGAATACACAATCCTTTTTTAATAAGCAGTTCATCCATAGGTAAATTTTTTTTAATAATACGCCAAGCCAAAATGGAATAAGAAAGAGGAAAACTATTATGCCAGATAGCCGAAAATAAAATAGAATTGCTGTTCTTAATACGAAAACTGTCCCAAGCAATTTTAAGATTAAACCTCCCAATTGGAGAGGGTTTAAATAAAATACTATCCTTGCTCTCTAATTGTAAAGGAAGATCCAAGATAATGCTCAAAGGAATGTAATCACTAAGTTTGTAAACATTCCACTTGTCATTTTCAAAAAACTCGTAGACCTTCGTATTGGTCATTGTAGAAGTATTTAACAGAGAATCAATAGACCCACAACCAATCCAGTTATCTTGCCAAAAATAAATGTCACCTTTCCCAAGACCCCATTGAATCAAATTTTTCGCTTCCCATTTAATTTTACAAAGTCTTTTCCAAACCGCAGAGTCAGAAATTTTATAAGTGCTACAAATTTCGGGTTTATCTTTACAATATTTAGAATGCATGAAATTAGCCCAAAGACTAGTATTAGCCCGAAAAGAAAATCATAACTTGTACGAGAAAGCTTTGACCATATCCATGAAAATTTTGCACCCTAAAGCACCTTCTTTTAAAGAACCACACACTTTTTTCCAGGAAGACCAACAAATACAACTATTATTCATATTAGCCCCCCAAAAGAACTTGTTAATCAACCTTTCCATTCTTAAATAAGTCGAAACAGTGGGATTCAGAGTATGCAAGATATAAATAGGAATGGAATTAAGCACGCTTTTAATCAAAATAAGTCTACCACCAAAAGATAGAAAATTAGAACGCCAGTTGTAAATTTTCTTATGAAAAGCAGAAATAATGTCTTCAAAAATGTGATTACGTTTTCTACCTTTAAAAATAGGAGTGCCTAAATATTTGATTGGTAAAGGTAAGCAATTGAAACCACAAATTCGTTTAATATTATTGATCTTACCTTGATTAATACCTTTAGAAACCAAGAAGTTGCTTTTGTTCTTATTAATATCCAAACAACTCATGTTCTGAAAGTTGATTAAAAAAAGAGCCATACGTTTAACATTGTTAATGGCGCCATTAGAAAAAAATAATAAAATCATGAGCAAAGCAAAGATGGGAGACAGGTAATCCACCCTTGGTACAAAAATATAGAGACTTATGCCCTTTGTATAATTCCTCCATACCTCTAGACAGGTAATCCATAGCTATAATGAACAAAGCCGAAGATAAGGGGTCACCTTGTCTCAAACCTTGTGAAGAATTGAAAAAACCATGTTTACCACCATTTATAATAACAGAAAAAAACAATTTTCAATACTATTTTTGATCAATTGGATAAAGGTTTGACAAAAACCAAATAAGGATAAAATCTTATAAAGAAAATTCCAATTCAAATTGTCGTAAGCTTTAGAAATACCAAGTTTATAAATGATGTTACCACCTTTGCCCTTGTAATTGATATCATGAATCATTTCTTGCACAAGAAGAATATTATAAAAAATACTTCTACCTTTCATGAAACCCGTTTGATTGGCAGAAATAATTCTATGAAGAATGCCAACAAGTCTAGTGGCAAAAATTTTAGAAATCAGTTTATTAAAGAAAGAGCAAAGACTAATCGGACGAAAATCATTCCACATGTTAGCCCCCTCCTTTTTAGGAATTAAGACAATGTTCGTAGCAGAAAAAAACTTCGGGTAAGGGGCACCTTTAAAGAAATTGTTGACAGCATCTAACACATCAAGTTTGATAGTGTTCCAAGAATGCACAAAAAATTTAGTAGTGAAACCATCCGGGCCCGCTGTAGAATCACTATTCATGTCTTTAATGGTATTCCACACTTCCTCCTCAGAAGGATGCATAATCAACATGTTATTGTCATTATCACTAATGCACTTAGGAACAATGAAAGGATTAGTAATAGGGATGGTCTGAGTATCTTTATTGAAAATTTGCTTGAAAAAATCAACACCCGAAGCTATATTATATCCTCCTCTTTGTCAAAAACAACACCTCCCTCCCCCATGATTTTAAAAATATGACTTTTAACTCTTTTTTTGTTAGCCAACATGTGAAAGAATTTAGTATTTCTATCCCCCTCCACAATTAATTTAGTCGTAGCCTTTTGCTTCCAATAAGTTTCCTCTTGTTCTATCAAAATAGCCAAATTCTTCTTAGCCTCATTAAGGGCATAACTGTTATCACTACTCTGACTATCCATATACCTTTTCTCTAAATCCATCACTTCCTGCTCAGCATCTTTAATATTAGAAAAAATGTTCTTAAAGACATTTTTATTCCACCACCTTAAAACTTGCTTCAACCTATTCAGTTTAGCCCAAAGCCTATACATCCTAGAAATGTTATTGTTAGGAGCAGTAGAGCCGACCAATTATAATTGATAACATTGCTAAAATCTTTATGAGATAACCACATGTTCTGAAAACTAAAAGAAACAGGAACAATATTACGCTTAGCATTAATACATAAAAATAAAGGAGCATAGTCAGACGTAGCTCTACTTAAGTGTTCCACATGCATTAAAGGAAAGCTATTCAACCACTCGTTATTAAATAAAAGTCTATCAAGTCTTTGCCAAAGGTTGGTTCTATTCCAAGTGAAAGGATTCCCAAAATAACCAATGTCATTTAAATTACAATTATTTATCATAGAGTTAAAGTCTTCCATGGCATTAACATTAGGGGGACGAACACCTCTTCTCTCAATCATATTACTAATAATATTGAAATCTCCCCCAACCAACCAGGGCATATTCGAAGTTGTAGCAATGGTATTCAACTGATCCCATAAAACAAGCCGCCCAGTTCTAGTAGTAGCAGCATAAATGAAAGAGGCTTTGCAGTTAAAATTAAACATAGAAATATGAACATTAATAACTTGATGGAAGTCATCAATAACATCTAAAACAACCGCATCTTTCCAGAAAATCCAAATTTTGTTAGAACAGTTCGCAAAAAAAGCAGAAAATCCCAACTTTTTAGCAATAATAGAAATTTTCTCTCTATCAACCAAAGGTTCAAGTAAAACAAGGAGCTGAATATTATGAATTCTACACAGATTTTTAACTCTAGTAATAGAGTCTTTACCTCCAATACCTCTAACGTTCCAAATAATTGCGTTAACCATTAGAAGGTTTTGAAGAAGTTTTAGCTCTGGTGGAACGGGGTGTTGAAGGTAAAACATTCTTACCTTTTTTCCTTCCCACCTTCATGAAATCACCTTCTTCTTCATAGAAAGAAGATAAATCAACACCCATAGTAGCAACATTTTTTCCTTGTTCCCAACAGCCACATTATCCATAGCCATTTCAGTACTCGGGTTAGGAACATATTCCCCTTCCTCACAACCC